AGGCACGAGTCAACCCTGCGTTGCGCAGTTTTCAACGGCCACGTTGCGCAGTTTCGCCCGATTAGACACGTTCTCTCGCGCGAACATTCACACTCGCATGCTCGAGCCGTCTGCGTCTCCGCCCATACAGCGTGCGTTGAGGATCTCTCAACGTGCCGTTGCGAACTGCGCAACGCAGGGTTGGACTCTGCTAGGAGCGGTATGAAGTGAACCGGATTACTCATGGCACAACTTTTGGAGCAGTGATTGAGGCAAATTAAGCAGAGCACAAGGAGCAACCAATAGATGGAGCTTCTGAAAATGCGTTGTGATTGCACATTTTTGAGAAAAGGCCTCTTCAATTCTTTATCTCATTCATCGCTCAATTGTTTCCAAGTTCGACAGATTTTGATAGAATCCTCTAAGCCATGTAAGCAGAGTTGAACCACTTCCTAGGATTCCATCTTCGATCACATCCATCGCTCTGAGCTGAACGAGGAGTTGATCACATTTGAACACCACAAATACTTCATATTTTCACTGTCTGGAATATCTTTCGAGGCTTGGAAGTATCGAACTTTGTGAAATTTTTCACCCTCTTCGAGTAAACCGTGCTCATAGCCAATTTCTTTATAACCATGAACGACTTTGCAAAGTAGATTGCAAGAAATTGTTTTTAATTATCACATCTAACTAAGGGAAAACTGTTGGGCATAAGATTTCCATATCCTAGTCTTGGGTCAAAAGGCGTAATTCTAAGCTTCTCTGCTTTTTGCTGCTAGCTTTCTCGCAAGGCAGCCTTGCTTTAGTGATTTTCATAACCGAAGGAGAGAAGCGTTGAATAGTTTGCCGGCATATCGACCAGGGTCAACCGTCACGTTCGAACATTTTCGGGATTTTTGCGACCCCCTAGCTCTCGAGGGGGTCCAGTTGCGACCCCCTGTTTTTGTTAATAAGAGTGCTAGACATGAATCCGTTGCGCCAGAAAGCGTCTGCGCGTCGTCGCGTCGGCCTTGGAGCGCGGCAGGTATCACCCGGGCGCTGGAAGAACGGGACGCGGCGAAGAAAAAATTTTAGGGGAATAACTTTCTTGGGACGTATTTTTTTGACTTGTTGAGGTAGATTTTGATTGTGCCTGAGGTGCGCTTCCAGAAAACTACAAGGATTGCCTAACTCTCCGGAAAGTACTTCTGTTAGAAGTGGAAAACCCAAAATTCTAAGAAGGCGCACCTTCAACTTTGAAGGCCCATAAAATCTTTCGTATGCGACATTTTGGAAATCTGTAAAAAGTTTCAGAAACATCAAATATTTCTCTAACAAAATAATATAAAAAGTTTGACGATTGTCCTCTTTTTCAAAAAATCGCCCCGTTCGAACACTTTTTTTGAAATCGCGAGTTTTTGGGCTTTCAGCGGGCATAACTCACTTCATTTTCATTTCTGTGATGCACACTTTCCATGGGGTGAAAAGAGCAGGATTTGCTCTTTCTGGCAAGCACCGAACCGTTTTTCAAAATACATTTTCCGAGAAAATCACACGTTCGAACATTTTGTTCCCATAGGTTTTTGAGCAGCACATGCGAGTTTTTGAGCTTTCAGCAATAATAACTTCCTTCAAAGAACTTGTTGAGGAGCACTTACAGCAAGGGGGCGAGATCTATTTTTTGTAAGACTACGAGTATTTCTGATTTTTAGTTATAGTTGCGTCTACCGTTTGTCTTAGAAAGAACTCTGCGGGACGATTCTTCGTAAAAATTTATTTTTCTCCCGAAGAACTTTAATTTCAGCCCCGAGAAGTCAAACCTTTCATAGGGATGCATTCAACTGTTCTTTATTCCTCAAGGAAAACACCGTAATTTGCCTAAAACTGTCTCTCTGTGCATAATAATCGAATCTAATGCGGTCTGCACAAACAATTCTTGCCCTCGGATACGCCACGCACGCGCCTGTGGCTGGCAGTCCTCGAAATTGCGACCCCCTTCCGACCAAAATGCGACCCCTTCGTTCGAACAGTTCGAACGGACGGTTGACCCTGCTTCCCAGAGGCATCGTGAGAGAAAATAAATGTGAAAAAAAGGTGCTGGAAACTTCGAGTACCACAATATTAACAGTGCTGGGTTGGCAGATGCGTGCTTTTCTTGCATTCGTCCGGTCTAATCGCCAGTAAAGAAGGGAGTGTTGACTCTTTGTCAGTTGCAATAACATTTTTGTTCATGAGTGGTATACCAGAGAGGTAGGGATTAGCGACGATTAGGGGTTAAAGCTGCGATGTCGTGCACTCATAAATCGAGAGTGCGAGTTCACGAGTCAACCTGCAATAAGGCCCCCATGCCTTAGGCCAATGCAAAATATATTTGAGTACCAGCATCGGCCCAGGGGTTAACAGGCCGTGATGATGAGTAGACACCCGATCGACAAAATAATGTGCTAAAGTTATCGAAAAAGGAATGATGAGTGATAGGTAAGCTAAGACGTTACCCGGCGGCGCTAGAGCACGTCGCCGAATTCCTGTTTGGTCAGTATGCGAGGGATTACCGATGGGGATGGTCCAAGGACCTTTTCGACCAAAGGAAGTCAAAATGTTCGAAAATTGGGTACTTTAGATCGGTAATGGTCACAATCATGTTGCACTATGGCAAACCTCGAGAAAGTGACTTAGGGCAAGCCCGCATTGCGAATCTTAACGATAGATTGTGTTAGCTCGGTCCTGTGCATTCCACTGACTGCCTGTATCACTCACTCTTCAGTTTTCGCGGAAGGCGCGGCCAGACAGACAAACTTACAAACAAACTGTCGTATCAAGGCTGTGGTTTATATGTATTACCAGGTTTGCTCCGCCCGCTGCGCGCATCGAAGGGCAGGGAGGTACCATGGAATAGCAGCATGACGTACTCCATTAACCACCTCACTATTGGATGTGTTATACCTCCTTATACCCCTTCTCTCCGGCGCATAGCAGCGCCATTTTTCTCGCCTCCTTTCTTCCTCCCCCTTCCCTCCCTCATTCTCTCTCTCCCCCTCGTCCTCTTCCAGCCTCCTTTCTTGCCCCCTTCCCTCTACACTTCTCCCCCCGCCCCCTCCCCCCAGTCATCGGCTTGCCGCGCGGCGTCCGAGAGGTTCTAGCCGTTCGTTCTCCATCATCTTCTTCCCATCCTCGTTCGGCATAGTCGGATGCCTCATCTAAACAGTAACAACCAGTGCAATATTGCCAGAACATCAAGCTTTTCATAATTGTTGCCTCTATATTCCTGGAAGTCGATGCACGTGTCATCCATCCATAACTGCGCTGCTTTCTTGAAAGCAGTCCTGGCCTCACGACCTTAATACACTAATGAATATCTGTGAAGTTAAGCATTAGTTGGACGAAGGAAATGCAATGCACTTAGTTCCACATCGAAGTAGTACAATACTCCGTCTGACCATCTATGACCAGGGTAGCTCTTGTCATTTTGTGCCTGCCGTTTGGGTCGAATTGGGTCAGATCCGCAACAAGTTGCTCCTGTTGTTCTCTGAATATGGAAGAAAATGTTCAAAAATATACCTGCAAAAATTTTAAAAAATGAACTTTGAAAGAATTATATCTCCTTGGAACAGCGCGTCCGCTACTCCACTTTTTCTATTGATTTCCTCGATGGAGTCTCCTCTTGGTTGCACTTCATCAACATTTCTTCTTTTGAAATTCTAAAAACTCAGCAAGCTTTCATCTGTCACAAAAATGTTTTTTGAATATTATTAACTGACTTCCAATCTTTTTGAAAGCTCTTCTTTCTCATGTTTGCTCAAGGAGCTCTCGATAGCTTCCCTTCGTTCGGCCAAGATTCCATTCAATTCGAGCATGCTCCTTCGTGATGCCTGTGGATTTTGCTGTATCAAAAAGGTAACTTTGAGTAGGTTCTAAAAGACATTTTTTACCTCATAAATGCGATCTGCAGCCTTCATTAGCTCATCATGTTTTTTTCCTATCGATGAGGTCCTTGACGCGTGCAGCTGCACCTTGCTTCTCGGATTCAACAAATCTGGCCGCTGACGCCCGCTACCACAAGCAGTGCAAGTACAAGAACACTCATGGTTCGGATAAGAGCTGGAATACGTCAATGAAGAGCTATGCCTGAAGAGAATAGAAAATGTTTCGGCTGTTCCACTCTTGTCGTATTTATATGCTGCTCTATATGCATTTTGACGTTGACATAGCGATGTGTTTGATGTCAGACATGTACACGAGCGATTTGGATGTATCCATTTCAACTGCAGCTCTCAGACTGCACCAGATAGTTTTCGAAAATCACTAAATAATAGAAAGATTTGCAACATTTGGAAGCGCAACAGCATCACTTCGACGAATTGACAGCGGATAAAACCTGAAATGGTCGTCATTGGTGCATTCTGTTTTTCTGTGTTACTCTGGAATGTTGGGTTGTTCGGGAAGTTTCCGCCGTTTTTTGGTAATTTTTCAGAACGTTTCATTTCTAACTCGTTTTTCAAGAAACTGCTCGCCTGATATACCATTGGAAAGAGCGTTTTTTGCGGTGCCTAACACTGCTGGTAAATTTTACCCTGAAACACTTGTTCCTCATCTTTTTGAAGTCCTGAATATGACATACACAACGGGCTATTTTGCACGAGTTTCTTGTTTCCAGTCAAATTTGGGGGAAAAGTGCGGAAGCAAGTCGTAGTATCAAGTGAGTATTTGGTCCTGAATCCGCAAGAAATACGCTCTACTGTCGTGGATCAAAGTGTCCTTCCAGCGATGGTGAAAGCTTCGAAGGAGATTGGGGTGACAGTGGGATATCGGAGACTGGCAAAAATTACCTGAGGGTCATGATCAAACTAAGTCTGCATGGAACTGTTCAGCAGGCCGCTTCTAATGAGGCGTCACTGAGATTTGGTTCCAAATATAGAGGTGAGGGTGAAACGTCCAAAGAAGTCGACAAGTGTGTGCCTCCCCTGCTCTTCTTCCCCCATTTGCGCAGCCACATCTCGTACTTCCGGCCGTGCATAAGTTGAACTAGCTGATACAAGAATTTTGCTGCGAGCACCTTGCACGTTAACCTTTTGCCTACCATCCACCGCTTCCAGTAAGATGGATTGTTTTTTTTTTCAAACAGATCAAACCTTGAAACTCAACATTGCGATGAAATGACATCTGCCACTTTTTCGCCTACAGAACTCTAGCAATTTCCACTTCCAAATCTGTCAAACTCTCCAAATGTAGGCAAATGTATGGGATATACGACATTTTTATTTCGATCGAAAATGTTCCGTATGAGCTTTTGAATTTTTGGGGTCAAAATTGGCGGAAACTTTCCGAACAGGCCAATATGTTAGATTGGATAGGAAAAGTCGCTATTGGACCAATGATTTGATTATATGGACAGCAACAAAACACATGAAAATTTAGTTATGGCCTTCATTGCAAACATTTATTTCTCTCCGTTTTCTACGCACAGAAGGGATGACTTCTTGGAAAAACTGTCTCGGGTGCGACACGAAGAAGTTGGACCAATATTCCGCGTCGTCGAAATTTTTGAATTTGTTCTTTGCTAATGGTGTGCTGTGCTGACTGGAGTGATAATTGGAAGGCACCAAGTAGCACGCGAGGCAGAACTCTGTGTGTTATGCCACAATATCTTTTTTTGCCAGTTTTAGCAACTTGGTTTTGGGTTTTATAGCTCCATATGAGCTAGGATGAGCTCTTGATGACGCAGCGCCTAGTCCATGTAGGCGGCGACGAGTTCTACAGCAACTGCTTAACCCACAGTTATCACCACAAGCTACACCAGCCCCGTAATCCACCATACGGAAACACAACCTTCTGTGTCGTGAATGTTCCAGCTGCCGTTGGGGCCCTTCAGACCACCTTCGCGCTTTTCTCACTAGGCAACCGTTTTTTGAGTTGTAGAACAGACTTTCACCAATGGCAGCCTGCGTTGTTGTTCGCTTCTCTCTAGAGATGAATAACACTGAGCACTTTAGCACTGAGTGACCTTTCTAGTCAAAGTAGGAGCTCTCAAAAATTACTGTTGACGCAATCAAACTTTATGTTTCCTTTAATGTTCTTGTTCGGTTTGGGAAAGCACGATTCAGTTCAACAGTTTCAGTTCAACAGTTTCTTTGATACTTTATTATCTAGAGCTTATGATATGCATGCTCCTCGTCCCCAAAATATTCACATCAGTCCAGGATGTGAAGAAACCATAGCTGAAACTGCATCAGAGAGCGTTGCTGCTGAATGTTCTACACTATACGAATAGAACCAGTGACCACTGTTCCTTGTTCGGAAGTATACCATGGGTATACACGCGAGCGAAGGTAGGAGTCTCATGTCCGAATAAAAGTGAGAAGCCAATCCCCCCTGATCCTCAATATATCCTGTTATGTGTCCAAAGATGGTCTTTGAAATGAATACTCCCAGATGTCGAGAGATTGTGTTTCTAGCATAGAAAATAATGTCACAAATTAAGCGATTTCCTCATCGGCCGGCCTAACAGTTCTATAGTTACAATTCTTTCACATCGAACCCGGATAAGTCCAAGAGGTTGGATTCACTAATGTATCTCTTTACTAAAAGAAAATCATCAATAAGGCAAGGAAAGTTCAAGGCCCAAGCTCCTTGTTTTACCGTCGAAACACTGCCAAAATTCAAAGAAGTTCTGGAGTTTGACTTCTTGATGACGCATATCGCACTTGTTCGGAGCGAAAATGCCTGGCACCTGCGATAAAGGCGCCTAGAGTAGTCGTGGAAGAATACCGCGCAAATCCGTTGTTGACTGCTCTCAAATTCTTTGTGCAAGTGACTAAATGCAAGCATGTTGCGCTAGCGATTCAGAAGGTCTCCTTGCTATGTTACTAAGAACGGCAGAAGCGAAAGTCGCCATAGAGTCGATCCGCGACCTCTTGTGAGTCCAGATCACTGCGGCTGCGCTTTTCCATTCAGAGAAGAGTCTAGCAGAACCAGACTTGAGCGCAGCGTTGCAATTGTGCGCATAGAAATACACATCTCATTCCAATTGGCTGAACTGACTTAATGACCCTCTCTGGTAAGTTCCCATCCTGACATACCTAGCAATCATGCCATAAATCACTGATGCTCACATTTTTGAAGCTGCCCTTTTAGACATCTCTGATGTCCATGTAATCACTGCCCACGACTCTCAAAGGGCACAGTTTGCGCTTTTCCAAGAAAACAGAATGAATGTACTCTCAGTGAAAACTTCAGCGAGCAAAAAAAAAGTGGAGTGCAGTAGATTCAGCCGATGTTGGTTCATATGCCCTCCTGTCGAAGATGGAATTGTCCACGATAGTGATCTTTCACCTATGTTTGAAACAACTGAGTCTCTGTAATAATATGACCACAGTTTGTGCAATTGCAAAGTTTCTCGAAGTCATGGTAAATGGTTGCTTCCTATCAACAACATAGGTAAAAAAGGAATTCTAAAACGTCATGTTATTCCACAAGGAATGTATAGGACTTTGTGCTTTTGAAGTCAAATCTACTTTCCACACCTAAACGATGCTCTGATCGTAGACATGAAGTGAAAGATGGCAACGCTAGTGATCCGGACTCACAGCTAAGACGTCATTGGATCGACCACTTATCGCGTATACTATTTTACTTTTTCTGGTAATACAGTTAAATAGAAGGCAGAAACCGATTTAGTTGTTGTTTTTTTTTGAAAAAAAAGCAAAACACTATACACGACAAGGAATCGTTTCTCGATTACATAACAATGAGTCACCACTATCGTTGCGTTTTTATAAGGTTTTCATAACTCCTTCCAGACAATCAATCGCTAGATTTGGAAGGTAGAGTTGAAATCAGTGTTCGAATAGCCATCCAGCCGCCAGCTCATATTGCATTGCCTTAGTGACCAAGGTTCTCTTGCTTTGAGAAGGATTATTCTCTATTTCTGTCATTGATTAACACCATGGGCATTATTTTGATTTCTGTCATTCATTAACACTATGGGCATTATTTTCTAGCATACTGCCTAAGCCCCGCCTTAGTAGCTAAGCTACTGAAGCTAGACGGTCGGCTCACCTCCGCCGTCCTTTCTGCGTAATAACTTAATAGCGGTAAAAAGATGACAGAGCTGCGTAGACCTAGATTTCCTATGTTACTGAAGGGGATTACGCTACAGCTTCTTGGGAATTAAGCTGGTGGACGATGAGGGCTAGATTTTAGAGTTTTTACGGAGATGTAATCGCTATGCACTCAACCCTTGCTCTGAGCCGTAGTGGCATGCGACCTTGCCTATTAAACCGTTATTCTTAATGCTCTGATCGATATGCATCCTCTCACCAGTGAAATGTGTAAGGAATGTGCTAGATACTAGCACCATTGTCGCGCACTTTCCAGTCGCGACAACGGCACATGCTACTCGTGGGCTACTCCTTCCCACCCACTGAGTAGATTCTTCAACACGACTTGCGCTGGGTTTTTTTCACCATACACTTCCAATCGGTAGCCCTGCGTGCGAAGCTATACCAAACTTACGTTCAGAGTTGAAACTGCCCAAGAAGGAATAAAAAATTAGTGCGATCGTTCAGGACACCGTGGTGTTTTTGACCAAACAATGTTAGGCACAACTACTCACATCACCCTTTCTTCCACCACATGTATATAAGCAGTTACTCACTCAAAAATGATTGGAAGTTAATCAGCAAACCTAAGCCAAGGTGAATGCTTACAGTGCACACAGCGCGCCGAATTAGACCGGCCACCACTCGTCTCTTCGCAACGCATGATGAAGCTTTTACTATGCTTAAATTCGACGTGCTCTTGGTTCGCACAAATTCAGCTGAATCGCGGAGCTTTGCATACTCTCAGGAGAGTGGATCAAATCAGATGGTCGGTAAGCTTTTGCTGATCAACAATCGCATGGTGGTCTAAAAGAAAACATGTATGCAAGCATCAGCATCAGACCACCAACTAAAGGCAATGGATCTCGGATGCAGAAATTGTCCATTTTCCCTTCTTTGCTTATTTATTTCTTCTCATAAAAATCATGAGTAACCTCTAATGACTGGAGACCCCTAAGCAAATTAAGACACTTAATAAGGTTTCTAAATCAAGGCTGACTACTCAGTTTGACGCGAAAGTGCTATGA